AATTTAATTTATTAAAATATAAATTATTTAAAAATATTTATCAGCTGAGAACAGTCAAGTAACAGATTATTTCAATAAAATAATTTTTTTCAGTGCATATATTTTGTATGATACGAACTGCCGGAAACACACGCGATTTAAAAAATTTCGAACAATCCCGAACGCACGTTTAATTTAAATTTAAAGAACAAAATACTTTCTTTTTATGGTTTAAGCGATAGTGATTTTAAGATTTTCGAATACTCCCGGGACAAAATTTTTTTTACTAAAATACGAAAAAAAAGTTTAATAACACTTTAAAAAAAATTCAAGCGCTCCCGAAATTATTCACATCTGAACAGGTCAATACACAAATTGCAACTAATTGAATCTCGGAATTATCTTTGAGATTTTCAGTCTATAATGTTATGACCGTTGTATTGAGGGTACTCTTTTGTTCTTTAATGTAAACAAACACCTTGGACGGCAGGTATAAAAGTAAATCAAAAATACTTTGATATTATAATTTTCGTAATTTCACTTATTTACTTATATTATTATCCTTGTTCAGGAAACGTTTTGATACGCAATAATCTTTTTACTATACTGGAGAAAAGCACTGATTTTAAGTTTAGTTTACTGAAAAAAATGTCTACGCTCCTAGTTATATGAGAGAATTCCTAGTTAGCCCAACAAATTTCTTGCCATAATATCTAGGAATCCTAGTTAAAAATCATTTATTCATTTATTTACATTAATCCAACGATACATCTGTAAAACGAAAGATATTAATTTAAAAGCGACATTAGGTACTAAATTGTCATTTGGTTCTATTTTGATACCTAAAATCGGTACTATTTTAGTACGTTCTTTTTACAGTGATACCTTATAAGGTGAATTAGAAGACAAACAATAACAGTGATTGGTTTAAACCATTATTGACAACTATTTATACAAACACAGATGTTTGAAAAGTAATAAACATAAAAATTGAGTTTTATGGAGAAAGACATATCTGCCAGTAACAGGAGTTCAATAAAAATGTTGAGTTAGAAGATTTTAAGTAATAGAGTGCAACTGTGGTTCTGCATGATATTTCCAAAAGTCTGGTAACATTAGATACAAATCGTAACCCTAAATAAATCTTTTTACTCTGCTAAAAATACTGATAAAACTGGATACAGAATAAGTAGAACCAATCTGTAGTAAAATTATGTTTTAGAAAACAATCCTAATACTTTTACTCCTTTGGATGAAAATCATCAATTCGAATTACAATCTTTGATGCAATTTTTACAAAGTATGAAAAGAACTGCAGAGTACAATTGTATTTCTTTTATTCCTAAAAGTACAGGTAACATTAGATACAGCACGAGCAGAATCATCTTTAGAAAAATTGAGTTTTAGAAAACCAAATCGTAACTCTAAATAATTCTTTTAACTGTACTAAAAATTCTGATAAATCTGGATGCAGAGTGAGTAAAATCAATCTGTAGTAAAATTAAGTTTTAGAAAACAATCCTAATACTTTTTTTCCATTCGGATAAAAATCATACTTATTCGGAGTGCAGATTTTGATATAATTTTTTCAAAGGGTGAAACGAACGGCAGAGTACAACTGCAGTTCTTTCATTTCTAAAAGTACTGGTAATATTAGATACAGCACGAGCAAAATCATCTCTAGAAACAATAGGTTTTAGAAAACCAAATCGTAACCCAAAATAATTGTTTTTACTATGCTAAAAATACCGATAAAACTGCATACAGAATGAGTAGAACCAATCTGTAGTAAAATTATGTTTTAGAAAACAATCCTAATACTTTTTCTCCTTTGGATGAAAATCATCAATTCGAACTACAATCTTTAATGCAATTTTTGCAAAGTATGAAAAGAACTGCAGACTACAACTGTATTTCTTTTATTCCTAAAAGTACAAGTAAAATTAGATACAGCACGAGCAGAACCATCTTTAGAAAAATTGAGTTTTAGAAAACCAAATCGTAACTCTGAATAATTCTTTTAACTGTACTAAAAATTCTGATAAATCTGGTTGCAGAATGAGGAAAATCGATTTGTAGTAAAATTATATTTTAGAAAACAATCCTAATACTTTTTTTCCATTCGGATCAAAATCACTTATTCGGAGTACAGATTTTGATGTAATTTTTGCAAAAAGGGTGAAACGAACGGCAGAGTACAACTGCAGTTCTTTCATTTCTAAAAGTACTGGTAATATTAGATACAGCACGAGCAAAATCATCTCTAGAAACAATAGGTTTTAGAAAACCAAATCGTAACCCAAAATAATTGTTTTTACTATGCTAAAAATACCGATAAAACTGCATACAGAATGAGTAGAACCAATCTGTAGTAAAATTATGTTTTAGAAAACAATCCTAATACTTTTTCTCCTTTGGATGAAAATCATCAATTCGAACTACAATCTTTAATGCAATTTTTGCAAAGTATGAAAAGAACTGCAGACTACAACTGTATTTCTTTTATTCCTAAAAGTACAAGTAAAATTAGATACAGCACGAGCAGAACCATCTTTAGAAAAATTGAGTTTTAGAAAACCAAATCGTAACTCTGAATAATTCTTTTAACTGTACTAAAAATTCTGATAAATCTGGTTGCAGAATGAGGAAAATCGATTTGTAGTAAAATTATATTTTAGAAAACAATCCTAATACTTTTTTTCCATTCGGATCAAAATCACTTATTCGGAGTACAGATTTTGATGTAATTTTTGCAAAAAGGGTGAAACGAACGGCAGAGTACAACTGCAGTTCTTTTATTTCTAAAAGTACTGGTAATATTAGATACAGCACGAGCAAAATCATCTCTAGAAACAATAGGTTTTAGAAAACCAAATCGTAACCCTAAATAATTCTTTTTACTCTACTAAAAATACTGATAAAACTGGATACAGAATAAGTAGAATCAATCTGTAGTAAAATTATGTTTTAGAAAACAATCCCAATACATTTTCTCCATTTGGATAAAAATCACCGTTTCGGAGTCCAGATTTTGATGCAATTTTTGAAAGGGTGAAACGAATGGCAGAGTACAACTGCGCTTCTTTCAATTCTAAAAGTACTGGTAACATTAGATACAGAACAAGTAGAATCATCTTTAGAAAAATTGGGTTTTAGAAAACCAAATCGTAACCCTAAATAATTCTTTTTACTTTACTAAAAATACTGATAAAACTGGATACATAATAAGTAGAATCAATCTGTAGTAAAATTATGTTTTAGAAAACAATCCCATTTTGATAAAAATCACCGATTCGGAGTACAGTTTTTTGATGTAATTTTTGTAAAGTGTGAAAAGAGGGTACCATATGTATAATCTTCCTGAGTTGGGCGGTCTGTGCATTAGAAGCACTCGCCTCTCGGTGCGTCAGAAACAAACAGGAAAAGGGGTAAAATATTCGCCTGGCCATTTGGCCCTCGTAAAACACAGCTCCTTGACGTTTGGTACTATATGGTCATTCGCAAATGGGCTATATATTCGATATTGGTGTATACATGTATACGGGTGGTCTCTCTCTCTCTCTCTATCTCTCTTTTTCATTTACTCATTTCTTTCTTTTTTTTTACTCTCTTTCTCTTGTCAGTCCCTATACATGCGAATGCGTAAGATACAGAAGAGTGAAGAGAGGAGGAGGTCTCCTCCTCAACATACATATATGCGGTGAGGGACGCGCGCCTCCTGACTCAGTGCTTGACAGGCCAGCAAGCTCTTAGCATCTCTCTCGCTTACTGGTGGTGGGCAACATTGACTTACACACGCGCCCACGATTCGCACGTCGATCTCTTTAGTCCTCGCACTTCTCCTAAGAACGATTCGACCACCTGAAGCTCCTCCACATTGGCTCGTGTCATCATCAATTCATCTTTCTCTCTCTCTTTCTCACACACACAGAGCACTACAACTATATTAGGAAAACGAGATCAGCAAAAAAAAAAAAAAACAGTCCCGCCACCCCACAAATTCTCTTTAAAATATCCTTCATTCTTCATTTGATTTTAATTACAATGAGATGATTCAATAAATAATAAATTCATCTCACATAGTACAAAAAAAAAAAAAAAAATTGGGAAAGAGAGAGAGAGGGACAGACAAACAACCAAAGGCCAAAAAATGACTGACAGAAAGTTGACGGACTGGTGCACGCACTGGTCCGATCGCTATCATCATCTTATTTCAATTTTGATGTGATTTCTACCTTAATTTTTTTTTTAAAAAAAGAGACAATTTTTTTTTTTTTTTTCTTTTTCTCCAAAAGTGTCAATAACAACAATGTCCGGGAAGATGTGATTTTGCGTTTTCATCACGCTAATGAAGAATAATCGGGTGTCGTCGTGCCGGTATCTCAGTGTATCAAAAGGCGGGTGCGGAAATTTGTTGCATACAATAAGGTGTGTGGTGCAACGGAATAAGGAGAGGAAGCGGGAGAAAAGGAAGGCACGTAGAAAGTGGACCAAAAAAGGGAAGTTTGTGCCTGTGCAGTTATTATTATTATTGTGTGTGTGTATATATCGTATTATTTGAGAATAAGGACTCAATCAGGAAGAAGGTGGTACCACCTTTCAAATATCACTTTTCACTTTTCAAGAAGAAAAAGAAAAAAAAGAAGAAGAAAAAAAAAAAAAAAAACCCCCCCCCCCCCCTTACCCTCTCGAGAAAGAAAGACTGACACGACTGACTGACCTGTGGAGTAATAAAAAAAAAAATCTATATATATAACACAAAAATTCTCATAAAGAAAAAAAGACTGCCCTAATAGGAGACGGATTATTTTATAAATTAAAAGAAGGAAAATTTCTTCAAAAAAAAGAATACAAAACAAATGAAGAAGAAACAAAGTCAATTTTTTTGGGGGTAAAAATCAATGTTAGTTAATTGCAAAAATAGAATATTTTTTTGATCTAAGGGGAAGATTGTGCAATTTTTTTTTTTTATATAAATATATATATTTATATTTATATATATGTATATGTGAAGTGAAATAGAAAAAGAATGAATTGATATAAATAGTTAAAAAGGTGAAAAAAAATTTTTTTTTTTTCCAAAAAAAAAGGAGGAAAATCAAGTTCTCCGATAGTGGGAAGGATTTGAAAGGAGAAAAATGATCACGAGGGTGCTAATACTCTCGCTGATGGTCCTTCTCGGGGCCTTCGACGCTCCAAATATTGAGGGGAAATCTCCCAAAAAAATGGTTTATGCAAGTAGTGGATGTAATGCATGTCGTATGCATGAGGAGATTAGAGCATTGAGCCTTGAGGCAATAAAGGAGCAAATTTTAAATAAATTGGGCCTTAAACAAGCGCCAAATATGACGGGTAGAGCATTACCAAGAATTCCACCAATATCAAAATTGATGGACATGTATGGAGTGCAAGCTGATCAACCATTAGAGCCGGGAATTACCCATCATGAGGAGATTGACGAGTTTGCTGCTAAAACGGAAAGCGTCTTTGCCTTGGCACAACCTCGTAAGTTTACAAATTTAATTTTGGTAGAAACCGTCCTACCCCACAACCCTCTCTTTCTCGTTCCTTCTGTCTCTTTCTCTCTCTCTCTCTGAAGTTCACGGCTGATCTTTTACCACCAATGCCATTCTTTGATAACAATATTATTTTTTTTTGTTAAATCAGTTTAATTATTTTTCATGTGATGAGAAATTGTTTTGTTTCATGATTTTTTTTGTTTTGAAAAAAGGATATATTTTTTTTTTAAATTTTTGGTGGTATTAGAAAAATTTGGTTCATTTTGACATAGAAAATTCTGTGTTTTTTTTGTATAGACTTTTTATCGATGATAAAATTTAAAATTAAGAATAAATGATTGCCATTTTGGAATATCTTTACTGAACAAAATTTTTGGTACAGCAAGCTGCCCGAAAAGAAAAATTTCTATATTCATAATTAACTTCATACTTCATATTTACCTATAAGTTTTTATATGAGTGAAGTTAGTTGAATATAGACAATTTTTCGATGAGGATCAACTGCTGGAGTAAAATTTTCTCCTAGTGTTAATTTTTATTCTTAAATTGAGTATATTTTAAATGTTGAGATAAGAATATATTAATTAATAATTTTAATGGTTAAAATTTATTCTTAAAATTAGAATATATTAAAGTTTATTATTTTAAAGCAAAACGTTATATTACGTTGTAACGTTACAGTGATATTAATCTGTACTCTCTAGATCTGAATTAGTGAAAAGTGAGCTACTAATTTAAATTAGTAAAAATTTTCACTACTAAATCAGATAGTAATATTTTACTAAAAATTAGTGAAAATTCTTACTAATGTGAATTAGCAGCTCATTTTTCACTAATTCAAATTTAGAGAGTATAATATTCAAATAATTTTACACTTGTATTCATACATCGAAAGAAATATATTCTGAAATTTAGAATATATATATATACTTGGGAACGATTTTAGAATATTTTATAATTAAATTCAGTATATAATATTCTTAAAATTAAAAATATATTCTTCTCTCTAAATCTGAATAAGTAAAAATGTTTACTAATTTAAATTAGTGACTCACTTTTTGCTTCAGAATTAGTTAAATTTTACTAATAATTAGTAAAATTCTGAATTAGTAAAAATGTTTACTAATTTAAATTAGTGACTCACTTTTTGCTTCAGAATTAGTTAAATTTTACTAATAATTAGTAAAATTTTACTAATTCAGAATTAGTTAAATTTTACTAATTCAAAAGCAAAAAGTGAGTCACTAATTCAAATTAGTAAACATTTTTATTAATTCAGATTTAGAGAGTATATATTCTAATTTTAAGAATATTACACACTGAATTTAATTATAAAATATTCTAAAATAGGTGCCAAATATATATTCTAAATTTCAGAATATTTTTTTAAGCGTAGTAAATATTACAGTAATATCTCTGTAAGGTTAACATTTTTTAAATGCAGAAAAAAATTTACTCTAATTTTAAGAATATTTTTTTTGATTCTTTTTAAGAATAATGTCGTCTGCATTCTAGTTTGAATTTAATATTCTTAAAATAGAAGGTAATTTCATAAATTAAAAATAAAATAATGTACACTGATAATACTTTTGTTTACAAAAATAATTCAAGTATTTTTTAAATTAATTATTAATTTTAGTATAAATTTCGTTTTGTTAAATAATTTCAGTAATTTTAATATCCTCATTCAATAATACAATTATAATTCTAAATGGTAAATTTTTGTAACTTGAAATTAAATTATTAAATAAGACAAAAAAAACCTCAATTATTGAGTAAAATAAATTATTTAGTTAGATAAATATTTATAAATTAGATATTAAATTATTTTACAATTAATGATATTGTTTAATTAAATTTTTTTATTTTAATTAATCAATTAAAAATTAAAAATTACATTTTTAAATTAATTTCAAGAAATTTGTATTTTATATATATGTAAATTAATAAAAGTAAAAACAGTATTTGTATTTTCTTATAAATATTTTTTTGCATTTTTCATGATATTTTGAAATATTGCCAAAATTGTTATTTTTGTTTATATACATAACAGAAATATGTCTTTGCAAACAAAAAGAAAGTATAATATGATTATAATGAATGAAAATGAGCAATAAAAAAAAATCTCATTAACTACTGATAAAACAATCATAATCTATAATAAATTAATCGCTACAAAAAAAGTTTATTATATGCATTCTCATTTTTTTAAATTGTTTTCCTTTATAGTAATATATATATATAGAGGCTAATTTATAAAATTACCTCTGAATCATATTCAGGTTCATCTAAATTATAACAATTTTTTAAAAATTAAATAAAAATAAATAATTAAGATATTATATATTAGGGTCAGTTGGGGTAAATGGGGTTTTGGAGCTTAATTTATTGTTTTAAAATTAAGTTCAACGTCAATATTTTAACCTCAGATCACCTGCAAGAGGTTTTGTAAGCTTGTATCTTGACAATTGGCAGCAAGATAAAAAAAGTTATCGCTCAATACATAAAAACTTGAAAATCAAAGTCAAACTGTTTCAGTATTTTGTCGAGCATTTCAAAGAAAACAGACTTAAAAATCATACCAAATTTTTTTCTTATTCCTTATGACTACCATAACAGAAATTTACTTGAATTTTTGATTTTTGTCAATTTGGTTAATAATGACAAGCTGTCCCAATTTACCCTGAGTTTTTAAATTTTTGGGGTAAATTGGGACAGCTTGTCATTATTAACCAAATTGACAAAAATCAAAAATTCAAGTAAATTTCTGTTATGGTAGTCATAAGGAATAAGAAAAAAATTTGGTATGATTTTTAAGTCTGTTTTCTTTGAAATGCTCGACAAAATACTGAAATGAAAAAAAAAATAAAAAAAATTTCAATTGGTTCAACTATTATATATCTACTACAATTTTTTTTTTCAAGTTTTTGCATCCCTTAATACAGTAATATACTTAAGGAAACTTTTTTCTTAAAAATTTCATAGAAACTATTCTGTCTCCATTTACCCCAAATTTTATGAAATTTACTAAATTTTGGGGTAAATGGGGACAGTCAGTTTCATGCGTTTAAAGCTTATCTAAATTTTTTTCTGCTACATAAAATTAATCCTGGGAACGTAAATAACAACTTAAAAAAAAATAAACCCGCAAGTATTACCTTTTAAAGGAAGAAACTTACGTAATTTGTGAAAAATAGCGATTTTGTCCCCATTTACCTCAGCTGACCCTATATAGGTATTATATTATTTAACTATTATTAATTTTTTTATTATTATTATTATTTAATTAATTTAGATGACTTCAAAATTTTTTTTTCAATTATTATTATTACTTTTATTATATAATTATTATTAAAATTAATATTATATTAATTAATACGTTAACCAATCGAAACAAATTTTATTTTCAATTGTTTCTAATTATTTGAATTCTACCATATATGTATAATTTAAATATAAATTTTCTTTTTATTTAATTATTAAAAATTATTAAATAATTAAAATTTTGTTTATAAACATCAGCAATATTGTTTAAATAATTGATTTCAATTTAAACATTTATATATATATATATATATTCATTAAACGTTACAATATTTTAACATTGAGTTTTCAAGAATTTGCACATTATAACAAAAAAAAGAAAAACTTTCTATATATTAAATGTCTAGTATTTTGAAAATGTAGAGACAAACGCACGTGGGGTCATGCAACGACTTCACTTTGATAATTTTTATTATAAAAGATCGCATCACTAGACAGGGGTTAATTTGATAGATTTGTGACTCAATAAAATCGTCATCGATCATTAATATAGAAAAATATATGTCTCCCGTTAAAACCGTAGAATTTTCTCATTCATATATGTATTTTACATTTACAAAGAAATTCCTTTGTATGAGAAGAGATTTTTAATATAAGTGACTTTTATTTTTGATTTTATGGTATAAAACAGATAAGATTTTTTTTTTGAGTTTCAACTGATAATAAATTTTTAATTATTTATTATTATTATTATTATTATTAATAATAATAATAATAATATTATTATTATTATTTTTATATATTTATAGCTTTACTTATTTATTCAGTATTGTATTTTTAATTTAACTGTATGTAAAAAATGATTAATTGCATTCTGATAATCATCAGACTCATCAGAATGATCATGAAAAATATTAATGTAGCTTATATTTAACATTAATTTTTATGATTATTTATATTTATAGTTATATATTAGTTTCTCTCATTTTAATATGACTTTCTCTTTTGCATATACTGCATTAAAAGAAGTTCCTTTACAACGTGAGGAGACACAGTTTCACGTAATAATTAGAGCAAGAGAGACAGAAAATTTTTTTGTCTCTTTTAACTCTAATACGTTATTGTATTATGCAATTATGTAATTTTATTTTGACTTACACATCGACTTTAAACTTTTATAATAACTTATAGTGACTTTCATTTTCACTTTCATTTTTACTGAAATTAAATTAAAAAATTGATTCAAAATTTTCTTTGATACAAAGAAAATTTATTTGTTTCAAACAAATTATCTTTGATTTAAAAAAAAATTATCTTTGTTTCAAAGAAATTTTTTATTTAATTCAAATAAAATGTTTCTTTGACCCTATATCAATGTTAGATTTTTTTTTATTTTAAGCACTAATTTCCTTCATTGAAAGAAATTTTCTTTGAAACTAAGAAGCTTTTTTTGTATCAAAGAAAATTTTATTTTGAATGAAATGAGCCAAAAGTTTTGAACGTTCAGATGAACGAAATTTTTTTTTTGCAACTTCTTTACGTACGAATTTTATTACAAAATATAGTTTTAAATATCTAAAAAAAATTATTAATTTAATAATTGTTTAATTTACTGTTATATTTTACATTGCTATCATAATTTTTAATAATTTATAGATTGAAAGAAATATTTCGTTAATTTGAACGTTCAAAACTTTTTGCTAATTGAATGAAAGAAAACAA